GGGGGGGGGGGGGTTGAGAGTTTTTTTAACAAAATGATCAACTAAAATAATCTCTGAATTCTTAAGCTCATGAACTTGTTCTACTAATAATATGATTTGAATGCACTTGTTTCGCTGAATTCTTTTAAACAAACAAAATTCTTAATGTCCATTAATGCAGTCGTTAATCTTTTTTCTCACTTTCGATTCCACGAATTAAAGGGGCCAACTTACGCACACTGCGATCGAAGATTCCTTTGATCGTTTTGACCTTGACAGAGCGAATGACTCCATCACTGCCTGGAAAGGCTTGGATGACCCTGCCAATGGCCCATTGGCGAGGAGGTAGGTTGTTCTCTTTCATAAGGACAATGGAATCTTCTTTGATGGGATGTTCTCCTGATGTCCACTTCGTTTTGGCAATTTGCTCATTGAGGTACTCCTTGTGCCACCTTTTCCAAAATTCCTGCTGCTTCTTTTGAATAATTTCCCAGCGTGATAATCGATTGGAAGGAGTGAGGCCCCTATCTGGTTCTGGTAAGCTAGTCAAAGAGTCGCCCGTAAGGAAGTGGCCAGGGGTGAGAACAAGAATATCATTGGGGTCAGTGCATAGAGGAGTTAAAGGACGGGAATTAAGAATTGCCTCGATCTCAATCACAAGAGTGTTGAATTCCTCAAAGGTCAGCAAATCGTCCGAGATCCTCTTCAAATGGTGTTTGAAACATCTGACTCCTGCCTCCCAAAGTCCTCCGAAGTGAGGAGTGAGTGGTGGAATAAAATGCCAATTTATTCCTTGGTCAGCGAGATTTCCATGAATCTTCTCGTTGTGCTCCTTTGATTGCAGTAGTGAGTATAATTCCTTAATGTCATTATTAGCTCCAACAAAATTTGTTCCATTATCAGAGTAAATATGACGGGGTTTGCCTCTTCTAGCAATAAATCGTTTAAATGCTGCCATAAAACCCTCGGTGGTGAGGTCACTGACCACCTCTAAATGTACAGCCTTGACAGTCATGCATACAAATACCGCAACCCAGCCCTTGACCTGTGTCTTATTTCTGAATTTTTTCTCTTTCATGAGAAAAGGACCACAATAATCCACTCCGACGTTCAGAAATGGTCTAGTCTCAGTAACTCTGGTCTTTGGTAAATCTCCCATGATGTAATTACTGGGTGGAGGACTCTGACGAATGCATTTAGTGCAATTTATTATTACTTTCCTCACTTGTCTTCGACCATCAATTAACCAATATTTTCTGCGAAGAGAATACAAAGTGGTTTGAGCTCCGGAATGGTAATTAATTAAATGTTCCAGCCTGATGAGCAAATTGGAGAAAAAGTGTCCCTTAGGTAACAATAATGGATGCTTTTGTGCATAAGGGACTGGAGCATTTTTCAATCCATCACCGACTCGTAATAAGCCTTCCTCATCGAGGAAGACACTCAAGTGCCTCAACTTGTCTTTTTTACCAAGAGAAGAATTTTTCTTGAGTTCCTTAATTTCATCAGAGAATTCTTCAGCTTGAATTGCCTTTATAATTTGATTGTTGGCATTGTTTAATTCTTCAGCAGTTAATGGCCCTCGATGTTTTGTTTTAAATCTCAAGCAAAAAGCTACAATTCTTCTCAATTTGATCAGTGATAAATATCTTGTCAACAGATCATTTTTTGCTGAAATTTTTGTTGCGAGACATTGAGTTTTTCTCATCTCTGGAATCTCAGCAGGGATTTTAAGCTCGCTGCTGGGCCACGTAGATTCCTCTTTATTGAGCCAATGTGGTCCATGCTTCCATTGCAGATTCTCAGTGAATTCGAGGGGCATCTGTCCTCGAGAAATGTGATCTGCTGGGTTTTGATCAGTCCTGACGTGTCGCCATTCCGCGTTTCTTGCTTTCTGCTGTATTCCTGAGACTCTATTTGCCACAAAAACTAATAATTTGTGTGGTTCAGTGTTGATCCAATGTAATGCAATCATTGAATCAGACCAGAATACAGTACGAGAAATCTGATGCCTGAGAGCATTCTTCACAGCTTCATATAAGTCAACAAGGAGCAGAGCTGAACAAAGTTCTAATCTAGGTAATGATACTTGTTTGATTGGAGCTACTCTGGATTTGGCACAGAGTAGACTCGTCTGGGATTTTCCCTGATCATCCATTGTTTTCAAATAAATGCAAGCACCATAAGCCTTTTCACTTGCATCGCAAAAGCCATGTAACTGAATTTCTTTTGCATTGGAAATAATTATTTTACGATCAAAGGATTCGTCCTTCAGTTGCATTAACTCATCAGTATATGATTTCCACTCTGTGTGAAGGTTTAATGGTACAGGATCATCCCAATCAATCTGTTCTTTCCGCAATTTTTGCATAATTATTTTCCCTCTAATGACAATTGGGCCGAGGAGGCCAAGTGGATCGAAAATTTTTGCTAGATCTGATAGAATACTTCTTTTGGTAAGTTTAACTGTCTTACTGATTGGTATTACTGTATATACAATGGTGTCTCTCTGGGGGTCCCAGTGCACCCCAAGGGCCTTAATAGTGGCATCCTTGTCGCTCTTCAACTGAAGGTTCACACTGCCTTCAGGTAGACTTTCGAGTAATTGAGGGTGATTGGACGCCCATTGTCGAAGATTCAAGCCACCTCTCTTTAAGACTGTCGTAATATCATCACGTAGTTGTAATGCTTCTTGGAGTGAATCAGTTCCAGTGAGAAGATCGTCCACATATAGATCTCTCTTGATTAGAAGAGCTGCTTCAGAATAATCCTCTTTTTCATCATCTGCCAGTTGAGATAAACAACGTATCGCTAAATAAGGGGCAGATGAAAGTCCAAAGGTGACTGTATTCAACTGGAAAGTTTTGACTTGATTGGCTGAATTGAACCATAATATCTGTTGAAATTTCCGATCTTCCTTTCTCACCCAGAATTGACGATACATTTTTTCAATATCAGCATTTAATACAAATTGGTGTGAGCGAAATCGAAGTAAGAGTGAAAAAATGCCGTCTTGGATCTTTGGACCAATCATCAGTGAGTCATTCAATGAGATAGCTGTCTCACTTGTCTTTGCCGATCTATTGAAGACCACTCGAACCTTAGTAGTCAGGCTAGTAGTCTTGATGACCGCGTGATGCGGCAGGTAGAAACCTTCTCGAGCATTTGGGTCATCCTCGACTTCGGACATATGGCCGAGGTCGATGTACTCTTGCAGGACCGCCTTATATTGCTGTCCCAATTCGGGGTTTCTGATGAATCTTTTCTGCAGACTTCTAAACCGTGATTCAGCAATTGATCTAGTGTCGCATAATGCTGCCTTTTTCTCATTGAAAGGCAAGGCCACAATGTATCTTCCTTTGCTGTCACGATCGACATTTTGTTGAAAGTGTTCCTCGCAGAGTTGCTCTTCTTTGGACAAGTGACGTTCACTGGGAATTTCTTCGATTTCCCAGAATTTTTGAACATCAAATTGAGATTCTGTAGTGAGGTTACATTGTACTGCATGTGAATTATTATGTGATGGTTGGGCCAGTGGATTTTCTCCCAGAATCCATCCCAATTGGGTTTGTTGAACGATTACATCTGGATCTTTAGGATCATTTAATCGTATCTGGCCTTGACAAAGCATGGATAAAGTAGTTCCAACGCTTATCAAAATATCAACTGGCGCTGGACGATCAAATAGTGGATCGGCCAACTTAATGTTTTTAGGGATTTGTCAATCACTCCTGTCCACTGGTTCCATTGAAAATAATCCACCAATGTGGTCTACCGTGAGGAAATTCAAGGATTTGTAATGAATGAGGTGAGTCTTGACTGAATGGTCGTGCTCACGAGAGAATTCGCGGCAGTAGTGGCGTCGTTCAATCCTTCGACTCTTATTGTGAGTTTTTCTCGTGAAAGCCTCAATTTATTGGCCAATGCTTCTGTCATAAAATTGGTGCCAGCAGCAGTATCTAAAATAGCTCGACATTGAATAGGCTTCTGTTGAGAATCCATGATGTTCACGACAGCAGTAATTATGCACTCTCGAGATGGCAAAGTGGCCACCAAGGCGATAGTTTTTGCTTGATGTGCAGCTCTCATTACTTTTGTTTCCTCATCATTTAAATGTAGATTAGTGTGGTGTTTCTTGTGGCACGTGGAGCGGGTAGACGTCTTGCACACCCTAGTTTTATGACCCTTCTGTAGACAGTTAAGACACAGTTCCGCAGTACGGGCAGCCTGAATCCTGTCTAGAGGGGTGAGAGCGAGTACCTTCTCGCAGGTAGAAAAAGTGTGTTGACCCTTGCAATGAGGGCAACTGTTGGTAGCAGCGTTCGTCAATAGAGTTTGAGTACGATTTTTATTCTCTTTACTGTGTTTGGGTTTTCCATTCACTGATGAATTGAAAGGTGTGGAAGAGGCACTGAAAGGGCTAACAGAAATTGTCCTGGTGGCTTCTTCTCTCAAAAATGTCAAGATAGCATCGTATTTAGGCATTTCTCTCCCTTGCATTTTTCTATTCCACTCCCTGCTGGTCTCTTTGTCTAATCGTCTCAAGATGATGTGTACTAATGGGGTGTTCCATTGTTCTACGTTCTCTCCCAGAGCCTTTAATGCTAGGACCTGGGTTTGAACGTTGTTGGACAATTTTTTCATCTCTTCAGGTGTATTCTTCTTCATGACTGGAGTCTCCATAAGTTGATCATAATGATTCAGAACTAACGCATACTGAATATCATATGTATTTTCCAGTAGGGACAAAGCAACAGAGTAATTCTCATCTGTGATTGCGAATGCCTTAATAGTCTCGGCAGCTTCACATTCACAGGTTCGATTTAAATAATCTAAACTTTGAGAATCAGTGAGATTTTCATTTCTATGAATTGTAACCAAAAACCAGTTTCTATAAACTCGCCAATTGGATAATTTTCCATCGAACTTCTTCGCTTCGAGTTTTGGTAGCGTTTTTAAATAATCAAACGAACATGAACGTGACGTGACTGACGGTGACCTGATGTCTCTGAAGTTTCTGTTCTCTTGGATTGCGTCAGGATGTATAGTGCGTCCTGGCGATTTCAATTTCTCCACAAGATTTGTATTGGGTTCTAGGGTTTGTAACTCACGTAAAATTCCTGGCATATTTTCCACTTCAGTTTCAATTATGCTGAAGTTCTTGTCGACGTACTGAATCGATGCGTAAGCATTCGACTCTACCAAATACTTATAAAATTTTGTCATCCTGGTTTTAAACGTTCCACGTTGACTGATTAACGCCTTACGTCGAGCCAGCAGTTCCTCCGGTGTGGCTGGTGCCATTGTGAAATTGGAAAGGCGACTGAATGAACGAGCTTACCTTGTTGATGACTGCCTGGGGGTTGACTCTGCAGGTAGGTGGAGGCAAGTGGAATTCTTGGTCTGTGCAGCTCCTGTTAACCACCGGCGTTTTTCACGAGATTGAATGCACTAGAGTCTAAAGTCTTAGCACAATCACACTCTTGTGAATTTTTAGTTTATTTTATTAATAAAAGTTTATTAATTGGTTCATTTTATTAATTTAAATGAGTAACACTTCGATTATGACTGTTCATTATACATGTTATCCGGCTCGAAGGACCATTTTTATGTTGGATATCATCAACGCGGTTGACTCGAAAACTTGAAAAATACGAGGACCGATCCCTTGGGGTTGTAAATCCCAGGTACACCAGAACTGCAGCTCGCCAATGAGTATCCAACGATTGAGAAGGGAACGTAAACCGTCTCAATGTATGTGGGGAAGAAACAAGATTGAGGGCGTTTTAAATGAAAAATAACAGTTTCACTAAAACACCTTAAATTTAATTACACAAAAAAAATTGATTGTTCAATGATGACACAAATGGTGACACAAATGGTTTCACAGAATTTACATTGTCTATTGAGAATTAATTAATATTGCACTTAACAATTCGATAGTAAAAATAATTGCACTTGAAAGTTTATAGGAAATAATTGCACTTCAAAATTTAGAGAAAAACTGTTAACTAAACTGAAGATGATTTGGATAACTTGAATATTTAAACTTGGATAAAGATGAGAGGCTCAGTGAGAAAACGGTCTTCACTGGCCCTAGTCTCGAAGAGTACTAACTCTAAAAATGGAGAGAAAATGTAAAGTTCTGTAGTTATTTTTGGGAAGGGATGTACAAAATCTTATTGGCTAGATGATATTACTATCTTAAAAGTAATTGGTTGAAGAAAGTGGGAGGGCGTATCTGGAAAAACCGTTGGGACCGACGAGAGGCCTTTTCCAACTCTGGCATACCCTTTTTTTTGCCACTGGGGAAAAATAAGGGATGCGACGGTTTGCTACGTGGACATTTGGCTGGCACATGTTGGGCCCTGCACTGGGAATCCTTCCGACTTTCTTCAATTTCTAAGTTTATGACTCAACCGCAATAAAAAGGGATTTTAAGTCCTACGTTCGAGTTGGAGAGGCCTGGTCCGTTGTAAAACAAAAAAAAAGGGAAAAACAAGTTTGAACAGGACCCAGGCTCTCGACAAGTATGAATGGATAAAATTTTCCCCAGTTAAAATAGAAAATAAACGGTATCTGCACCGAACAGGTTCAATAACGGGCGGTGAAATAAAAGATCCGTATGAAGAATGTCCATGGAGCACAATCTTTATGAAAATGCATCCGGGTAACCAATTAGAATCAAGCAAATGAAATTGACGGAAAAATCTTGCAATCTGATGAGTTACACAGTCTCCGTGCAATTTTCATCATTTACCTGACTGCTATAGGTTGCTGCTGTACATTACTTTAGGTTGCTGCGTCAGTGATAACCCAACAGCTAGGTAGCCGAGTTCGCCTGACGATGTGGGAGTAGATGCAAGCCTGCATCAAAACGCTGGTAGATTACCGCATAAAGTTTTGTATCGGTATGATTTTTTCGAAATGAATAGTGCCTAGTGTGCATTAAACTGTCAGTTTTATTCAATTTTAATGCATATACAGGAATCATTCAGATGTTACGCTGATAAACGAATTGATTTACCGTCAGTAAGCCTTGGTAACTATTAACAAGTTGCATAGTTCAATACAAGCAGATAAATATACGTTAGTAATCGATATATGTTTCAATTCAGAGGTGAATGTGAGGCCAAATAATAGGTCCAGACATCGCATCACTGAACTAGTCTTAAAGTATTAGCAAATATTCATTTAAGGAGAAAAATCGAAGCTTACAGTAAAATTAATTCGTTGATAATAAATAAACTCTTTTATCAGTGTATGCAGAATGTAGAATATATAACACTGGTAATCTTATCGTAGGTTTCAAATGCGTGGGGAAATTTCGCGCTATCAAATAGCCTCGTTGTTACGGGCCCTGGCGATCTGGCATCTACGGTATAGCGTAGATGTTCCGTAGATGTGTGTAGATGTGCATTTTTGGGCCTAAAAAGCATGAAAATTGTCGAAATAAAGTGGAATAATGATTGGGAAGTTAATTATCAGAAGATTAGTGTCAGTTATCACTCATTAATTGAGTTTTTTTGATGAATTTGAAGAAATTACTGCTAGTGTACTTAATGCCACTAGAACGTCGTATGATTCCGCAAGATGGCGGCAGCGCCGAATTACCGAGTAGGTCGGTCAAGTCAGCAGCACAGTAGCAGTCGCAGGCCAGCCGCCTGCCGAATGAGTTGACAGTGGGATAGCATCGGTCGGTTTTTCAATTAATTGTTTAATGATTAATTAAACAATTGATTTTTGATGTGTCATTCTCAGAGGACACACGGAGGGGGGGGCGTCGAATTTTTGGTTCTTTGATGAGGGTGCGAGGGATGAGGGGAATTATTTTTCTGACCCTTAATCGCATTGAGGGAAGTCCTCGGGGGCGGGAGGGAATTTTTTTTACCTTTCTGACCCTAAATCGAATAGGAAAGGGTCCGAGGGGGGGGCTTTGTTTCTGACCCTTCAGACCCCAAATCGGATTGTGGAGTATCCAAGGGGTGAGGGGAATTTTTTTCTGACCCATCTGACCCTAATTCGGATAGTTGACGGTACGATGAGAAGGGAGGAGGGATTTTTTTACCCTTCTGATCTATAATCGCATTGTGGGAAGTCCAAGCGTGGGGGGAAATTTCTTTTCCGACCCTTCTGACCCTAAATCGAATAGCAAAGGGTCCGAGGGGGGGGCTTTGTTTCTGACCCTTCAGACCCCAAATCGGATTGTGGAGTATCCAAGGGGTGAGGGGAATTTTTTTCTGACCCTTCTGATCTTAAATCGAATAGCGAAGGGTCCGAGGGGGGGGGGCTTTTTTTTCTGACCCATCTGACCCGAAATCAGATAGTTGAGGGAAGGTGAGAGGGGAGGAGGGATTTTTTGCGACCCTTCTAACCCTTAATAGCATTGTGAGAAGTCCAAGGTTGGGGGGGAATTTTTTTTACCTTTTTGACCTTAAATCGCAATACGGAAAGTCCACGGGGGGGGATATTTTTGATCCTTCTGACCCTAAATTACATAGTTGAGGGTGCGATGTGTAGGGGGGAATTTTGGGTTCTTTGTTGAGGACGCCAGAGGGAGGGGATTTTACCCTTCTGACCCTTAATCGCATTGTCTGAAGTCCAAGGGGGGAGAGGAGGAATTTGTTTCTGACCCTTCTGACCCTAAATCGAATTTTTGTGCGTTTGACGGGGAGGGNTGTCGAAATAAAGTGGAATAATGATTGGGAAGTTAATTATCAGAAGATTAGNGGAGGTGGGTGAATTTTTCCTGACCCTTCTGACCCTTAATCGCATTGTGGGTTGTCCAAGAGGGGGGGGGGTTTCCTTACCCTTCTGGCCCTAGATCGAATTGCGAAGGGTCAGAAGAGGGGAGGGGGGCTCTGACCCTTTAGACCCCGCATCGGATTGTGGAAGATCCCAGGGGACGAGGGGAATTTTCTTCTGACCCTTCTAACCCTAAATCGGGCGGGGAGGAGGAATTTTGGGTTCTTCGTTGAGGATGCAAGGGTTTGAGAGGATTTTTCCTGACCCTTGTGACCCTTAATCGCATTTTGGGAAGTCCGGGGGGGCATTTTTCCTAACCTTTCTGACCCTGAATCACATTGAGGGATGTCCAAGGGGGGCGGATTGTTTTCTGACCCTTCTGACCCTAAATCGGATAGTTGAGGGTGCGATGGGCANTGATTCCGCAAGATGGCGGCAGCGCCGAATTACCGAGTAGGTCGGTCAAGTCAGCAGCACAGTAGCAGTCGCAGGCCAGCCGCCTNCCTTCTGCCCCTTAATCGCATTATGGTAAGTCCAAGAGAGGTGGGGAATTTTTTCCTGACCCTTTTGACCCCAAATCGGCTAGTTGAGAGTGCGATGGTGAGGAAGGGGGGAATTTTGAGGTCCTTGTTGTGTCCCATTTGAAGTCTCGGGGCTTGCTTAAGCCACATAAGGGCCCTAAAGTTAAAAAGAGATCGTTGATCAAGCGGAATGTCATGATGAGAGTTCAAATTTTAGCAAGAACACAGGTTTTTACGATTTTCTTCACATATTTTCATTTCAGGAAAGGAATAATTTACGTTTGTGGAGACATGTATCAACATTTACATTTACAGTAATAATTTTCATAATATTTATACTATAGCGTCTTTATTGGGAAGAGTGAATACATTATTTTACAATTCAGTTATTCAGTAAATTTCAACTTGGGAAATGGCTTAAACATTGAAATTGAAGAAATTGGAATAGAGAATTAGAAATGGTATTTCGTAATTTGTAATATCTATTCAATCCCACTTTAAAGAATGAGGCCGGGTTGCACCAAGGCCGATTAACTAAATAAACCCCAGGGTAAAATTTAGCGTCCGGATCAATTATATCTAAGGGATCATCATTTTTGAATATTTGACCGAACGAATATTTTTTTATTTATCCTGTAGTTCCATTTGAGTTAAGGGGAGAGTACTGTGAGTTTTAAAAGCCGTAAGTTATTGGAGTGAGACTTTTCAAAGGTTGAAGATCGATTGAATACATCTGAAAACGAGTAATTAGTGCAAAAAAAATTCTTTCTATTGTTCGTTTGCCCGAAAACGCTTAAAATGCTAAAAACAGTCTAGGGCCTCCAATTTTTGAGCTACAAACATTTTTTTTTCGAAATTTTCGGGAAAATGTGTGGAACAACAATTACGAGCCAGTTTTTTGGAATTCGAGTCCTACACAGCTGATTTCGTTTTTCTTTCATATAAAAGAATTCACTATTTGTGTAAAAAAAAGTAAATGTAGCCATGTGAGAGGTGAATTAAAAAAAAACTAGCTCGTAATTGTTATTTCACATATTT